ATGATATGTCTTGGAAATGCATTTCCAAATGAATCATTAATCTAAACTTCTTAATTTTTCTATGCTTACCCTTGTTATAACTCAAGCTTTCTTCATTTGTCCCCACTATTCTTTCTAATTAAAATTAATTTGTGAAATTCTAGATATTTTGTAATATAGAGTGTTGTTTTATTTTTTATTAGGATAATATTTTTATCAAGCTTGTAAATGGTTTTATACTGTTCTGGTTAGGAAGTTGCATAGATTTTACATTGGTTTCACCTCCCATCAGGATGTTTTCTATAAAAATCGGTATCTATTTTTTTTAATGAGTGTCTGCTTTTGAAGTATATGATTTTTTTTTCAAGAAAGTGTACTTTGTTTAAAAAGTGCTTGAGGTGGCTTTGCTTTCAGCTTTTTGATACTCGGTTGTGCAAACTTGTTATTGGGTTTCTGAATCTATGCAAGTGAAATAAAATGTATGCTTCTCATGTTCGATGTAAAGCTAAATTGAACGACTGTTTATTTAGTAAAGTATAAAGTTACTTTAGGCAACTTGGAAAATAACTGGAAAGGCAGAAGGAACCTTATCGTCTAATACTACTTAAGCCATTGCAATCAATTAGATTCCAACTTTGTCACCCTCTATAGGATATCAGAGGCTTTACACCTTAATGGGAACAGAAAGTCTCGGTTTTCTCCCACAGAGCAGCCAGTGGGCTCAAACTGCTGACCCTGCAGTTTGTAAGCAATAAATATTATTTAAAATAGGTTGGCGTTAGTTGCTGTTGTTTAAAAGTGTACTTTTAAAAGTGAATCTTCTAAGAAGAAAGTATAAATCTGACGTTTCGGGCACTGATGAGTGCTTTAGGGAATTTTACACTGTATTCTGTATTCACAATAGTTCTTGTATGGGCATCTTCAGGACTTGAGGTGATGCTGAAAGTAACGAATGATTGGGAAGAACCAGATCTGCTTTTTGGAACGCGTTTCCAGAAATATTAGGCTTCCAGACCTGGGGTTCTTGGTTGAAATAAATGGACACGAATGCCAGCTTACACTTCCCCAGTGACACTAGGACCTTGGAGCATCTGTTGTGACATGCATTCTCCTCGGGAACTTGAAGCAGACAGCTCAGGAAACTGATGTCTGCAATTCATTAAGTCAAGAGAATCACATAAATTATGACCTTTCTAACATAACTTAATTTCATTAAGGCACACAGGCATTTTGAAAGCTAACGGATACAATGAATGAATGAATGAACCGATGAATGAATGAATGAATATAGTGCTTAATTCTGCCCTTTGAATTTGGGGGTACTCACCGAGCACAGAGTGGCTTAAAAACAGCATCCTCCTTATTCTTTTAAGCGCTCCCTTGTAGATCTTTCTGAGCTATCTCTCAGACTTGGTTGCCAGCAGTGTTCCAGCTGAAATTCTACCCAAGAGATGCACTGGTGTGACATTTGGGAGAGAAGAGGGAAGACACCATTAATCTCAGCAGTAGCTGCAGGTGATCTCCCAGGTGTCAAAAACTGGCAGTTGCCCAGAAGCCTCTGGGAATAAGGAAGTCTCGAGGTTTGCCTTGGTGCCGCAGGTCACAGAGATCACCGGTGGCAACTTCCTGTGCTTCTCGTTCTTGCTAGTCTTTAAAACTTTACCTCTTGGGCCTTGGCTCCTCCAGCACTACAAATGATTGCATACATCTGTTCATTAGATCCTTTCCTACTGGAAACATCTACAGTTAGATGGAGCCCAGGCCTTTATTTCTTGTTCTGACTGCACAAAAGTACAAATGAAAATGGTTAAATTACATAAAAAGTCACACGTGCACACACACCCCCATTCAGCCTTCACACAATTAGTCTGTGAATTGAACCGAAATGACACCAAATCACTGCAGCCTGGCACAGACCACACCGTAGTGTATCCCATCTGTGTGCTACTGACGGAACAGAAGATGAGCAACAACAATAAAAACACACTACTGCTTCTAAGCTAGACTGGAGAGCGGCCATCAGAAATAGTGACTAAGGGGGGGAAGGTTGTATTAAGCAATAAAGTAACCCGTTGGATACTTTATTGAGACTGATGTAACTGAAACTTCACGGCAAGACGTAAAGGCAATGGACATTGTTTTCATTTTCATATAAGAAGTTCGGATGGAGCCCGTACATCCAGGGTTTGGCCCATGGCTCTATCAGGCCATCAGTGTTTCAGTCTTGTGTCTTTCTGCTTTATCAGCCTCAGTTTGTGGCTCGTGTACTCCTGCCTCACGGTGTCAAGATAGATTCCTCACGCTCTAGCATCATGGGAAAAAGCAAAGAATGGCTCTAGTCTCACAGGAAGGATGGAAATCGAAAAACTTATTATGAGAGAAAACACCCTTCCACAATGAACAGCATAGTTCTCCTTACAACTCCTTAGGTAGAGTTATGTCCCAGTATGGCAGCTACACGTTGTTATTCTAAAAAGAATTGCGGTTCTGGCAGTAAGAGAGGAGAGAATGGATATTATACGGGTGGGATGCTGCAGCATACAGCAAAGCAGCACACAGGAACCAGCATCCGTGACGTCCTTAGAAAGCATTTTGCAGAGTAGTGTTTGCACGGCTAAGCACAGAAGAAACTACTGGAGCAAATAAGCCATTGCCAGGGAAAAGTAATGGTCGCCGGGGCCGAGTTCAACTGTGCCCAAGAGAAAAACAGCAAACAGCAGCAATTTAATGAGGATATACATTTATTTCTTCCTCTTGAAGGCACATCGGTGAGTAAGGATTTCAGGCTGTCGTTGTGGCTCCACAGTGTCATGAGAGTTTCTATCTGCCCATCCGCCATCCTCAGCACTTAGCTTCCAACCACAAGGTCACTTCGTGCTCCAAAATGGTTGCTAGTGCCAGCCTCTTGGAGGAGGCACAAGAAGGCCAGAGAACCCCTCTCCTTTTAGGGAACCTGCACCAAGTTCCTCCCTTCTGCCTACCTCTTACTGGTCAGAGCCAATGAGGTCCCTTTTACCAGCAAGCGAAGCGAGTAGCAGTCGTCACATTTTTCATGAAGAAATCAGCAAATGTGACGAGGAAGGAAGACTGTGTTACGGTCTCTGTCGTTGTCTGTGTAAGGATCATCTTCAAATCTGTAGTCCAGGATGTGAATCGGCTTTTACAACGTATTGCTCTGAGAAGTCTATGCTGCCCTCGAAATGCGGAAGGTTGAGAATGGTGGTACTGAAAAAAGGAAAGAAGTTAAAATAATAAGTGATATAGTTACCTTGATGACATCATTATTTTAATGCATACATTTTGAGTTTGGGTGCTAAATTGAGAGTAATTTAAAATATTATCAAACAGTACCTTTCCTGGCTTTAGACAGATGTGGCTCTTCCATCTAATCATTCATGGAGATTATTAAAGGTAGAATGGGGTGCAGGGGTAGCTTGGCAACAGGAGGGGCTGAAATCTTGGAAATTCATTTTATGATCAGCTCTTAAGGAATTTGGGATGAGTTTAGGAAGAAGAATAGTAGTCTACATTAAAAATTGGACTGGGGATAGAAAATTGAGATGCAAAGAAGAAACTGGGAATTAAAGAAGTCTTTATTCTTCAAAGGGGGAAAAATATGGCTTACAACAACAATACCCTGTTAATTGCCACCCCCCACCCCCCACCCCCGGCAAAAAAGGTGAAAACCGCATTGTACTCTTTAACTCTCAAAGATTTTCAAACATGAAACTCACCTGGCAGAGGAAACACCATGACCATGAAGGTGGTTTTCCCAGGGTGAGGCTTATCCACTGCACTCCGGATGTGCTGAGCCCTGCGATTTCCCCAAATGTGGGGGACTTGGCTGCATGATTTGTGGTAGTGGGGGACTGCATTTGTGCTCTCCCCTTAAAGGGAAATAAAATAACAAAATCAAACCTAGTGACTCCAAGCCCAAGCATTCAATTTAAATGAAATCAAACAAATTGACTGAAAAACAAAATTAAACTCCTCCCCTCAACTTTACTTTTTTTTAATTATACAGAATCACTGGTTGTCTTTTAATTCATAAAGATAAAGCCAGAGAACAACCACAACCTAGTTGCCACTCACTGTTCATTCTCTTCTGCTTGGATAAAATCCCAGCTGAAAAACTACTTGCTGATCTCCCCTACAGCTGGGGGTCCCATGACTGTGGGTGGAATTGCTTTATGAGGCTTCTGGGCAAGAACTTTCTGTTCTTATTCCTTTGGGCCTCCAAGGCAGACAAGATGGCTAGCTCTCCAGCAGCCAGGTTGGCCATGAACTGACATTGGGATACCAAAAGATTAAGAGAGAGAAAAAAAAAAACCGAGTCTAGGGTGTCTGTGGACCTGCTCCGGCCTCTCTCTGGAGTTCTTTTACTTAAGAAGATAACCTCTATGTTGCTTAAGAAACTCTTGGTTCTACACTCTGTTACTAATGAACCAAAATCTCAGTGCCAGGCAGTCAATTCTGACTCACCATGACCTTAAAGGACAGGCTAGAACTGCCTCTGTGGGTTTCTGAGACTAGCTCTTTAGCAAACCTGATTTTTTTCTGCCGTGGACATTGTGGTTAACAGGGCAATGTATAACCACTAACCGACCAAGGCTCTTTTGTTACTAGCAGCTGCCCACAATTCCTAAATGATCCACATGTGAAGTTACTGATCAGAAAAC